ATAAAAAGCACGACCGGACGAGAACTCCTCAAGAGTGACCACCCTAGTCGCTCTTTCATTTTTTTTATAACCCGCCAAAAATTTACCAACGTTAACCTTTTTTCCTTACCAGATCTTCTTATTATATCCTATGATTTGTGACCAATTACTTGCCTAATAATGAGATCGCAGTCTCCCTTTCCCGATACCCTCCCCTTCTTTAAGCGTCTCTGAGGATAGGATGTGTTTCTCTTCCTATTAAATTGGTGGCGGTTATCGGCCCGCGCAACTTATATATAATGGGCAAAGAAAAAAATAAAGCCCCACTTTCCTTTGCTCTCATGGTCTCGGCGAGCACGTCACACACAGTCCCACACACACACATTCACACACACACACACTCACACACACACACACACACACTCACAGAAAAGCATGATTGCGGCGGCCTGGATGGTTGGGCTCCTCTCGCTGACACCGTTCCAGTCCGGACTCTGTCCTGCGGGCCACAGGCAGCCGCCCCTCCGCTCGGCCTCCTTTCCTCCGTTTATGACGATCCCGCGCACGTCGGACGGGCCGTCTGCAGGTGCGGCCCAGGCCGCTTACGCACTTGTTGCTGCAATCGACGCGTCCTTTTCTTTTTAAAAATATATCTTTATTGATTTCAGAGAGGAAGGGAGAGGGAGAGATAGAAACTTCAGTGATGAGAGAGAACCACTGATTGGCTGCCTCCTGCGCGCCCCACACCGGGGATCCAGCGCACAACCCAGGCACGTGCCCCGACGGGAGAGCGAATCGTGACCTCCTGGTTCCTAGGTCGATGCCTCACCACTGAACCCCACCGGCCGGGGACAAAGTTGTTCTATTTTGTTAATCCTCCTTTCCCTGGAGTCTCCAAACTGGAGTCCCATTTGCCTGGGAGTGACACAGAGGGCAGGATGCGTCCACACCGGTGCCAGGCCAGCTGGGTGTTCTGGGAGAAATACAAACTCCAGGCCCGGGTTGCGGAGACTCCATGTCAGTGGTATAAGACATGGAGTGATGGGGGCGAGAGAAAGGCTCATTGACTGGCTGTCTCACGCAGGGGCTCAGATAGATGGGGAGTGACCGACGCTTCCGTGGACCGTCCGACATGCTAACCACTAAGCGATGCTGGCCAGGCTTGAAAAGTTTTGATTTCAGACCATCCTGTGTGGTCACCTGGTCTCCGAGGTGGTAAGACAGCCTCACAGGCCTCCTGAGCTCCTCAGCTGCAGCAGATGGCCCCTTTGTGTCCACAAGATCCCTCATGACCTCAGCCGGACACTCAGGCCAGGGGGGCGGGGGGTGGAGAAGGGTCAGGCCGTGGTGACCATCCTGGGTCCCGGCCTCGTCACCTGCCTCCGCCTCCGGCTGCGGGCCACCTCCCGCCGGGCTCTCCGGGGTCCCAGGGAAGATCTGGGGCTTGGACGCCTCGTCCAGGCGGTCTTCAGGCAGGTGGGGGGCCCCCGTTGTGGGGAGCGGAGCGTCTGCATCTGGGGTCTCAGGTGATGACACGAAGGCCACTGAGCTCTCCTGAAAAGGCAAGACGTGTCTGGAGTCTGGGGTTCAGCCCGGGGGCCCCCGCAAGAGGACAGGGGCCCGTAGACCCCACGCTCAGTGGGGCCGGGTTGGCTCTAGTCTCGGCTCTGCCCTCACGGCTGGCTCCGCTGGCCTCGGTGCCTCAGTTTCCCACCAGAGTCTAAGGCCCATCCAGCTCAGGCCCTCGGCTCGTGTTCGGCTGACGCTCGGGCAGCGAGGGGCTCGCTGCAGCTGGAGTGGGTCTCCCCCCTCCCAGCCCGGGGCTGGCCTGGCCCGAAGCACTCACCAGGCTGTCTCTTCTGTAACGGCGTCCTGTGAAGACAGGTCCTGGGAGACAGATGGCAGGTGGTTACCGGAAGGTGCCAGGAGGTTCCTCTGAGCTGAGGCGGTTCCAGAAGCGATCACAGCCCCCCACCCCTCACCCCCAGATCAGGGAGCTCCAGGAAGGGGCCACTGTGCCTCGCCCCTGTTTCCTGGTTGCACAGCTTCCAGAACCTGCCAGGAGCCCAGTGTCCCGAGCTCAGCAGCCCAGGCTCTGCCCCACAGACCTGCCCACACCCTGGCCTCGGCCAGGGCTGCCGCCTGGGAGATGGAGCTGACACCCGTCAATGACGCCTGAGGGACCCCCTGTCTAGCCAGGCCCGTCCCTCAGCCCCAGGCACCGGCCAGCTGAGGCCCAGCCCTGTCCTCCCTCAGGCCCTGGACCGGCCCGGTTGTCACGGCCTCCCGTCCCCTGGCTCCAGCTCGGTGCTCACCTGCACGGGGACAACAGCAGGCCGCCCGGCCGCCTCCGTCTCCGGGTTTCCTGACGCAGAGAATGACGAGGGCCCCGACCACCGCGGCAAAGAGCCAGCCCGCCATCCACCAGAACCGGTGTCGGCTCCCTGGCCCTGCGGACAGACAGCGCCTCAGCAGCCACACCCGCCGGTCCCAGCAGCCACGGACCAAGGCCCCCAGACCAGCGCTGAGCCTGGGAAGATGCTTGAGGGACATGCAAACACGAGGCTGAGGAGGTCGGCACCCCGTGTCCACGGGGCCACGGCACCGCCACTCCCTCAGTGTCATGGGCTGAGAAGTATAGAGAAGTTACGTGTAGCACACACACGTGTGCACATGCATGCACACACATGCACCACACATATGCATGCACACACATGCATGCACACACATCACATATGCACGCACACACATGCACCACACATATGCATGCACACACATGCACACGGGAACATTATTCACCCTTAACCTGAAGGGCTTCCTGCCTTGTAAGAACGTGAATGGCCTGGAGGCACTGCGCTCAGGGATGCCAGACGGGGAGACAGACCCTGCGGGATCTCACTCCCTGTGATGTGGACCCTGAAGACAAAACAAACTCAGAGAAAAGGGGGACAATCGAATAGCATCTCCTTTCACTGGCCCAGCACAGGGACCCCCTGGGGAGAGGCCTGGGGGCGGCCCGTGCAGCCTGCCCAGCCTTCCTGGGGGGCCGGCACCCCCAGGGCAGATAGCGCTGACCCCGCCCCCACGCGGGCCCAGGTGCCGGGTCTCAGGTGGTTCACGGGCCACGTGAGTGTGTGAGGACGTGGTGCTCTGACGTCCACCCTGAAGGGACGTCCTGTGTCAGGCCGGGTCCCCGCTGACCGGCGGGACCCAAATCTGACGCCATGACATTTCCCTCCGCTTTCTCCTCTTTTTTTCACAAAGTGGACATTTTTATTAATTTCTGAGAGCGAGAGGGAGAGACAGACAGAATCATCAATGACCGGAGAGAGTCACTGATCGGCTGCCTCCTGCACGGCCCCCACGGGGGATGGAGCCCACAGCTCAGGCCTGTGTCCTGACTGGAATCGAACCGTGACCTCCGGGGTCATAGGTCGAGGCTCCGCCCCGAGCCACGCCGGCCGGGCGGTCCCGTTTCCTCTAGGAGTTCTAGAGCTTCGGGTCTGAGTTTGGTCTGTGGTTCGTTGTGAGTTAATTTTCCTCCAGTCTCCCCAACAGCATCGTTTGAAACACTGTCCTTTCCACACAACGGTCTCGCCTCGAGGGCTGATGTGTTTGGAATTCTGGCCCAAGTTCACCAGCAGATGAACGACTGACAGGACGTGGCCTAGTCCACATCCGTGAGTGTGACTCAGCCGCCAGGCGCTCTCACAGGTCCCACAATAAGGAGGGTCTGGAGGACACGCTCCTGAAGGGAAGGAGCCAGACACGCAGGCCACAGGCCCACGACTGCGTCTGTGACGTGTCCGGAATGGGGAGATCTGTCACCGCAAGCAAATCAGGGCCTGCTGGGGGCGGAGGGGCGGGCGGGAGAGCTGCTGTTTAATGGGCGGATGTGAATGTTTCGGGGAGACACAGAGGTGGGTGCTAAGAGCCCCTGAACTGTTCACCGGAGCCCAGCCGGTGTGGGTCAGTGGTCGAGCATGGCCCTATGAACCAGAGGTCATGGTTCCATTCCTGGTTTCGGGCGTGATCCCCATGTGGGGCGAGCAGAAGGCAGCGGATCCATGATTCTCTCTCATCATTGATGTTTCTATCTCTCTCTACCACTCCCTTCCTCTCTGAAATCAATAAAAGTATATTTAAAAAATAATAAATAAATTATCTGACATGGTTCTCGTCTCCAGAACATACACGTTAGACACCACAGGAACCCTCTTACCTGGGCCGGGCAGGCCGCACAGGGTGTCGGCCGTGGTGTTGCACGTCTGCAGGACGACCTTCCCCTCGGGGCACCTGGGGAGGAGACGCCACACTGTTCCTCCCTCCACGTCTCCCAGGACCCGGGCCCAGGGGCGCTGTCAGCGGCAGAAGGTGGGCTCCGGGGCGGCTCCCGCGGAGAGCTCCCCACCCGCCACGGGAGCACCGTGTGCCCGAGCCGAGGCCCACGAGGGCCCAGGGCACCCACAGCCCAGCGCTCACCCCAGAACCAGCCTCTCAGAGGTCATGGCCCTCATCCCACGGGGGGAGCCACAGAGGTCCCTCCAGGGAACCTGCTCGGCCTCGTGTGCAGGCCTGGGAGCGGGGAGCAGGGGTCTGTCCTGCGTGTGAGAGCCTCGGCCCTCAGGTGTCCTTCCTCGTGGTCGTGAAGTTAGGGGCTGGTCATTGTTTGTCACGTGTTCCGAGGTCACAGGGAGGCGTGTTTAGACCCAGGACCGACGCTCGCTTGCGCAGGCCGCACGTGCTCACGCTCTCTGCCCACCTGAGGGGGGACCCGGAGGGACCTCTAGGTCACCGGCCCCTCGCCTTCCACCATCGCCGGTTCCCCAGCTCCTGTCCGAGTGCGGGAGGCTGGTTCTGAGACCCCACACTCCAGGGTCACAGCGTGAAACACCTGCAGCCCAGCCGGCGGGCTCAGAGGCTGAGCCTCAACCCCCGAACCAGGAGGTCCCGGTGCGATTCCCGGTCAGGGCACAGGCCCGGGTATGGGCTCCATCCCCGGTGGGGGGCGTGCAGGAGGCGGCCAGTCCATGATTCTCTCTCATCATTGCCGTTCCTCTCTCTCCCTCTCCCTTCCTCTCTGACATCAATAAAAATCCATTTCTTCTAAAAAGGGAGCTATTTTTCCAGGGGGTTCACCGCTGTCATGTCTCCCCAGAAGGTCCCCCCATCGAGTCCACCCGGGACCTCAGGATGAACCTTCTTAGGAAATCTGTGCGTGTGACGGCGCTAAAGGGAGGCCATCGCGGAGGAGCCGGGCCTCCCGTGACCAGCGTCCTCCTGAGGGAGCCTGTTCGCAGGGAGCAGCACAGAGACGCAGACAGGAGGCGGCGCGATGGCGGACAGAGCAGAGGCCGCAGCAGCAGGTCTAGGAGGAGCGCCAGGGGCGCCGCCACCCAGAGCCCAGGAGGCAGGAGGGTCCTCCCAGAGCCCGCGGGGCCGGCCCTGCCCACACCCGGGTTTCGGGCTCCCGGGCTGCGGGCCTGGAGAGAATTATTCCCGAGGTTTGTGAAGCCGCCAGGACCGGCGCCTGTGACAGAACCAGGGCCCTGCTGTGGGGACGGCCTTGCAGCTGGGACAGGGCACGGTGCTCACGGCTCTTCCTCTGCCCGGAGCCGCCTCCTCTGGAACTGTCTATGGCTCCCACCTCCCTCCCTCCTCAGGCCTCTGTGTCTCCCACAGCCCCGCCCTCCACCCCTCGGGGACCCGGGCAGGTTCTGTGCTTTGGCTTCTGTGCCGACTCCACAGGGGCTTTGGTGGGATGAGCGGGTCGTGGCTCTGGGTGGACGGAGCCCTGGCCCCAGGGCGGCCCCCGGTGGGAACAGCCAGGCCACTGGTTGGATTTCATCTTCAGGCGCCTCCACGTGGCAGGTGCTACCAGGTTACTGATGGGAGAACCGAGGGGCAGCGGCATAACCCGAGGCAGACACGCCACGGGGGAGGAGGGGGGTTGGGGGCGAGACCCAGGCTGCGTGGCTGCCCGCGCCCCGAAGCCGTACCTGGTGCAGCGGTAGCAGCTCTCCGGGCAGTCCTCAGAGTCACAGTAGAACTCCCCGGTCTTGCACTGGCACTGCCGGTTCCGTTTCGGGGTGCAGTCACTCACCATCTCCTGGTCTGCGGGGGGAGGGGAGGCTGGGTCAGGCACCAGGGCTGGGACTCCATCCCACCCATACCGGCCCCTCCTGCTGCCGAGTCACAGGCACCGAATCCACAATCTCCCTCCCTCCTCACACTTACAGTCGAAGAGGTGACAACTAGACTCTATTTCCAGCATCGGGGTGTCTGTGGACGGGCCGGAGGGGGCCCTGAAACCTGGGCTGCCTGTGGACTGGCCAGAGGGGAACCCTGAAACCTGGGGTGCCTGTGGACGGGCCGGAGGGGGCCCTGAAACCTGGGGTGTCTGTGGACGGGCCAGAGGGGGGCCCTGAAACCTGGGGTGTCTGTGGAGGGGCAGCAGGTGCCCTTGCAATGTGGGCTGGGAGGACAAAGCCAGTTCTGTCCTCAGAGATACCCCCAAATTATCCCTTTCATCGTGTTTGCCCCCTAAAGGGCAGGTCAACACCCCCAGTGTGGGGGTGCAGGAGGCAGCTGTGAGTGACACAGCAGACAGCGAATGGGGCCGCAGAGAGCCCCTGGCCCCACCTGCTGGCGGTCAGCTCGGCGGTCACCCCACAGCCCACCCGACGGCCGCCAAGGCCGGGCCCTGAAGCCTCGCGGGGTGCACGGCTCCATCGAGGGGGCGGGCCCTCCAACCCCCTCTGCCCAGCGTCTGAACTGCAGGTGAGATGGGACTAAGGTGGGGCCACAGCCCAGCCCGAGACCAAGCCCGTCACCCACTCGCCTGCGGCCCCGACCCCACATGTCGCTTTGCCCGCCTTCTCTGCCAGTGGACATGGGGTGGCTCCCGGTGATGCCACCGCACACCGGCCGGGCTCTGACACACGGGGGAGCGGGCCCCGGTCTAGACGGAGGCGGGCGGGCGGGGGGGAGTGGGGTAGGCCCGTGGGAACGTCACCCACTACACCCAGTGTTTCCTCCGAGGCTGGCACTGACCCCCCGTCTCCCGTCGGGCCAGGATCCCCACTGCCCTGCCCCCACGTGCGGCACCGGCTCTGGCGGATGTAAGAAGGTCCTCCTCTTCACTCCTCAGAGACCATTTCTTTTTCTTTCTTATTATATTTTTATTGATTTTACTTATTTATTCACTTATTTATCTATTTATTTATTTGGTTAATCATCACTCCAGGATATTTTTCCCTTGATTTATCTTTTTTAAATTATCTTCAAGTTTAGATCTTTGGAAAACACTTTTTTTTTAATTAAGAAAAAAATATATATTCTTGCCCTGGCTGGTGCGGTTCGGTGGATAGAGCATCAACTTTCGGACTGAAGGGTCTCAGGTCTGATTCAGGTAAAGGGCACAGGCCCGAGTTGTGGGCTCGATCCCCAGTGTGGGATGTGCAGGAGGCAGCCGATCCATGATTCTCTCTAAACATTGATGTTTCTCTCTCTCTCCCTCTCCCTTCCTCTCTGAAATCAATTATATATATATATATATATTTTAATATATTTTTATTGATTTTTTACAGACAGGAAGGGAGAGGGATAGAGAGTTAGAAACATCGATGAGCGAGAAACATCAATCAGCTGCCCCCCGCACACCTCCCACTGGGGATGTGCCCGCAGCCAAGGTACATGCCCCGGACCGGAATCGAACCTGGGACCCTTGAGTCCGCAGGCTGACGCTCTATCCACTGGGCCAATCCGGTTAGGGCAATAAAATATATTTAAAAAAATAAAAATAGCCCTGGCTGGTTTGGCTCAGTGGATAGAACGTTGGCCTGTGGACTGAAGGGTCCTAGGTTTGATTCCGGCCAAAGGCATATGCCCGGGGTTGTGGACTCAATCCCCAGTAGGGGACGTGCAGGAGGCAGCCAATCGATGATTCTCTCTCGTCGATGTTTCTATCTCTCTATCCCTCTCCCTTCCTCCCTAAAAATCATTAAAAATATTTAAAAAATAAATATATTTTTTAAAAATTTAAAAAAGGGGCTTCAGGGTCAAGGTCAAGACTCGAGGGTCCGGGACTCACCCTCGCGGCAGGTGGTGCACAGCAGGCAGGACGGCAGGCCGTTGGCGTGTTCCGTGTACATCCCTGTGTCACACACCTCGCACTCGCTCCGGGTGTGGGGGCTGCTGCACGGCTCCTCGACATAGCGGCCTGTGCAAGAGGTTGGGGTGCCGTCAGACCCACCAGGCACGCCCCTCGCCCCGCTGTGCGGCCTCCACGCCAGGCCCTGGGCTGGCCTCTCTGGGGAGAAAATGCCAATCCCTGTCCCTGGGCGTTAGCATTGGAGTAATCTCTGCCTGTTACCAGTACGTGGAAATGACGAAGCAATCGCTCCCCGACAGCTGTGTGGTGGGGCACCCGGACCCCGACCCCCACCCCCACCCAGGACACACCTCTGAGGCCCCCAGGACGCGCCTCTGGTCCAGGGTCAGTCAAGGCAGCGGGACCCCAGCCCAGCGCTCCACCTCCCGGCCCAGGGCTCGCCACCAGCTGCCCGGGCGCAGCCCAGCGTCCAGGTCACCATGGGGGTCCCAGGGCCCAGCCCGGAAGGCCCCGAGGTGGACACGTGCTCCGCTGGCCAGCACGGTGCCCGGCCGCTTCCTCCCTGCCGCCCGACAGAGCCATGGCTCGACGTGCATTTAGTGCGGGCCCAGCAGACAGAACCCGCCCCCACTCACCTGCGGGGCAGCGCTGGCAGCAGTGCCTGCCAGACCAGTACTCGCCAGGCCCGCACCTGCTGCCCGGGCTCAGGTTTGCCGCGCTCGGCTCAGACGACAGGTTGCTCGAGGTGCTGAGGGTCAGCTGCAAAGACGGGAACCGTGTTTCACCACGTTCTCGCCCCCCATCCCTCCCACTGTCACCCCTGCAGGGTCCACAGCACGCCCCGTCCACGCGGAGCACCGCCTGGGCCGCCGCCCTGGAACGGGAGGGTCAGGGTGCGCAGCTCCGCATGTAGCAGCCTCAGGAACAAGGCAGCCAGGGGCTCCCCGAGCCGGGGGCCCAGGAACCGGGGTCCCGTGCGTATTGGCTCCACAGGCGGGGCCAGCGGCCTTCTCGTCCCATCTCTGGGGGGAGCTGTTACCACGCACAGGTTTCACACGGGAGAAGAATTTAGTCACAACATCAACATCAGCACAGACAGAACCTGGGGTGGCCAAGCCTAAACGCTGGACAGTGGCCACCCATCCAGGCAGCAGCTCTAAGGAGCAGGCAGGGGTGCCCGGAGGAGGTGGGGTGGGCAGAAGCAGAGGCAGGCTGAGCCCCTCAGCGGGTTGGGCCCTGGCAACCCCCCTGCAGAGAGAGCAGGCTGGTTTGGGGGCGGCTGACAGATTGGGGGGCAGGGCAGCGACGGTGATGTGACCACATTGTTGAGGGCGTGTGACTCTGCTTGATTTCAGGAGAGAAAGCAGCACCTGGAACCCCAGACAGCAACGTCGTAGACGGAAGTCCCTCCTCCACAGTAACTGCTTTACATGCAAATGCAGCCAACTCCCCCATCGGACACAGATGGCCGAACGGGGTGAACACATGAGCCGCCGCACGATGCCTGCGAGAGACTCACTCTGCGTCCAAATGCGCACAGAGGTGAGAGGTGGGGCGATGGGCCCTGCTGGTTCGGACAGAGCACCGGCCTGTGGACTGAAGGGTCCCCGGTCCGATTCCAACTCAATCCCCGGCCCTGGTCTGGGCGCGTGCAGGAGGCAACCAATGGATGCATGTCTCTCCCCGTCTTCCCTCCCACTCCCGCTGAAAGTCGGCGGAAAATGGGTGAGGAGGAACAGGCACATGGAAGCCAACGCCGCAGCCCATTCCCTTTCGAGTGCTTTAAAAATGTCCATTTCAGCGCGGTCGTCTCACTGTAAGTCGTGCGAGGCCAGATGTGTGTGCGCAAATGGAATATTGAATTCGCCTCCCTCCAAAGCAGACACGACGAAAGGCAACGATGTTCTAAACCCCAGGACCGAGCCCCTCACACCAGGCACAGGCCCCAGGCCCACTGTCAGCCAAGGTGCAGGTTTCATGCAACTGTTCCAAGTTCAAGGGCTCAGCGCCCGACACAGACAAACAGGAAGAAGCTGTGGTTTCTATCGATTTTAAAAGACTCTGACCCTGCTCTCATGCTTTGGTGAGGAACCTCTGGGAGCCAGCTTCCTGGGGGCCGGCCGGCGAGCGGGGGGTATGGGGGACACTTTTGGGGGTGAGGGCTGCACCCACTCTCCTGCGGGGATGGTTTCGCTCACTGTGAACACATGTCAAAACGCCAACCTGCACACTTTTCTTTGGCCACTTGATAGAAAGATTTATTAGAACAAATTCCATGAGGAATCATATAAAAGAACCGTTTTCTGAAAGACGCTCACCGACCACCTGAGCACAGACACGGAGGAGCCTCCGCGAAGCCAGACAAGGAAGTTACTGACCCCAGGTCGGGGCTGGAGCGGGACACAAGTCTATGAATAAAGAAAGTGTATGGCGCCCTGTCTGGTGTGGCTCAGTGGACAGAGCGTCGACCTGCGGACTCAAGGGTCGCGGGTTGGATTCCAGTCAAGGGCACGTGGCCGGGTTGCAGGCTCCATCCCCAGTGGGGAGCGTGCAGGAGGCAGCCAATCAATGATTCCTTTTCATCATTGATGTTTCCATCTCTCTCTCCCTCTCCCTTCCTCTCTGAAATCAAGAAAAAAATATTAAAAAAAAAAAAGTGTATGGGGATCCCGGGGTGGGTGGCGTGGAGAGGGCGTCATGGCCGGAGGAGCTGTGGCCACTGCGTGTGTCATGTTCCTGGCGACAGAATCCTGAGAAAAGGAACCTGCCCCCGGGGCTTGCCCACCGCAGAGCAGGCCCTGCACAGGCAGAGGTGCCGGCTGGTGGGAGCAGGGCGGGCGTGTGTGTGCACCTGCGAGGCGGCCGGCACTTAACTCCACACTTTAAACCTACTGGTTACTCCTCAATAAAGCTGTTACAACACCGTCCCCCAACTAAAAACAAATCAATACAGCGGGGCAAAGGGTGATAGGACACATGTAATACCTTAATCGATAAAGAAAAAAAATTATATATATAAAAAAAGAGCCGAAACCGGTTTGGCTCAGTGAATAGAGAGTCGGCTTGCGGACTGAAAGGTCCCAGGTTCGATTCCGGTCAAGGGCATGTACCTTGGTTACGGGCACATCCCATGTAGGAGGTGTGCAGGAGGCAGCTGATCGATGTTTCTCTCTCATCGATGTTTCTAACTCTCTATCTCTCTCCCCTCCTCTCTGTAAAAAAAATCAATAAAATATATTAAAAAAAAGAAAAAAAAGAAAAGAAAAAGGCCCTAATTGGTTTGGCTCAGTGGATAGAGCGTCAGCCTGTGGACTCAAGGGTCCCAGGTTCGATTCCGGCCAAAGGCACATGCCCAGGTTGCAGGCTCGATCCCCAGTAGGGGGTGTGCAGGAGGCAACTGATTGATGTTTCTCTCTCATCGATGTTTCTAACTCTCTATCCCTCTCCCTTCCTCTCTGTAAAAAAATCAACAAAATATGTTTTTTAAAAAGAAAAAGAAATCATTACAGCGGGGCAAGGGGGATAAGGACACATGTAATACCTGAATCAATAAAGAAAAAAATTATGAAAAAGAAAAAGAATTCATTACCATGGCCTCTCACCAGCATCGCGGCCCCGGGGATGGGGAGCATAAGACATTTTGGGGGGCTGGCAATCTGAATGTGTCCCAGAAACCTGCTCGCTACTGCGCAATCTTGCGAGCTGATAATTAACTCCATTTGTGATAAAAAATAGGAGGCTACTTAGCGTCCCAAGTGCACATTCAGGGTCAGGGTCCCCTCCGTCCCCATCTGGTCTCGCAAGAGCCTGTTTACCGAAATGCGCCCAATCCGCGGGGCCCTGAACCCGGATGTTACAGCTCAGCTCAGCGGTTCTCAACCTGTGGGCCTCGACCCCTTTGGGGGTCGAACGACCCTTTCACAGGGGTCGCCTCAGACCATCGGAAAACACATATATAATTACATATTGTTTTTGTGATCAATCACTATTTTGTAACAATGAAAATACATCCTGCATATCAGATATTTACATGACGATTCATAACAGTAGCAACATGACAGTGATGAAGTAGCAACGAAAATAATTTTATGGTTGGGGGTCACCACAACATGAGGAATGATATGAAAGGGCCGTGGCATTAGGAAGGTTGAGAACCACTGGCTTAGCTGGAGGGAGGTCAGGGCGCCCTCCAGGATGGAATTAGCTACAATCTAAGCTAACCATCTCACTCTCCAGGCTGGGGGAGTAGAGTCCCTACAGAAGATGGGGGGGGAGTAGAGTCCCTACAGAAGCTGGGGGCGGGGAGTAGAGTCCCTACAGAAGCTGGGGGCGGGGAGTAGAGTCCCTACAGAAGCTGGGAGGGGGAGTAGAGCCCCTACAGAAGCTGAGGGGGGAGTAGAGCCCCTACAGAAGCTGGGCGTTAGGGAACAGAGGCTCAGGAATACATGAGGAGAACATCTCACTGTCCAAGGGGCTCAGGATCTGGATCTTAGGGTCCCTGGACCGGCAGCTCTTTGAATGAAGCTTTTCCTGAAACCTCAGTGTCCAACTGTCTCTTCCGCGCCAATTCCATCCATTCCGTATCCACAGCGCGGTGGGAGGACGGGGGATGGCCGTGCCCGCCCAGCCCCCGGGGGGTCACCATCCCGTCACCAGAGAGCCCGGGGCAGGGGCCGCGGGGGGGGGGGGCCTGCGCTGTCCCCGCGCTCGGCTCAGCCACGGATGCCCTGCGCGCCGAGCCGCGGGGGCCTGGGGTGCGGGTGCAGCTCGCCCTCCGGACTCTGGAACTCAGACTCCGTTCTGCCCTCGCCTGGCCCCCTCCCGGCCGGCGGGATCTTCCCTCCCCGAGCCCCGCCGGGCACCCACCTGGGTCCCGAGGAGCAGCAGCAGCAGCAGCAGCGGCGAAAGAACAGACGACATCCCGGCCATGGCGCTCCTTGGGTCCAGGGGGCGCGCAGGACGGTAAGACGGGACGAAACCGCGAGCAGCCCGTTTTTCTGGAGGGTCAGCCGGGCGGGGAGCCTCCAACCCCG